TTTTTTTTTTTTTTTTTTTATCTTTAGCCATTACTATAGAGGAATAACGACCAGTGAAAAAATAATTTTGCTGTACTTCCAGGATCGTTGCTGTTGTTAGGTGCTGTCAAGTTAGTTCTGACTTGTAGTGGCCCTTTGTACAACGGAACAAAACACTGTCCAATCTTGCACCTTCCTCACAACTGCTGCTATGCTTGAGCCCATGATTGCAGCCACTGTATCAATCTCTTCCAGGAAGCCCTTCCCCATCAGGGGTTGGCCCAGTCAGGTTCTTGGCTTCTCAAAAAAGAAAAAAAAGAAAATCCACCAAAAAGTCAGATCCGACTCATAGTGGCCCCTCCTTGTAGATTGCCCAACTTTCCCTCCAGGGAACAGCTGGTGAGTTTGAATGGCTAGCCTTCTGGTTAGCAGTCAAATGCCTTAGGTGCTACATCATCAGAGCTACTACTGACCAAGAATGACCAGGAGAGGCTTAGATTTTCCAACCAAACAAAGCTTTTAATAAAGGAAAGAGAAAGTAGCTCCTGTGCGGAGACAAAGAGGGACTAGCCTTTGTCTTTCTGAGGAAGCATTTGCTGGGGTTTTTAAGGGTTTTGAAACAGGTGGGGATTTTCCAGGAAGGGGTGGTAGTTTACTTGATATGGCTTGTTATGGGATGACATATATTCACTGTCCCTTGGAGTGCCAATTCCATTCCCAGTCTGTGTCCTTGCCTAAATACCGCCACTCCATAGGTCATATAGTGGTCATCTGGTGGCAATGTGACCAATGGGGGAGCTGAGAAGGTTAGATTATCCACAAACACCTGCAAAAGATCTTGCAAGATAAGGAGCTTGGAAGTGGGTAGATCGCTTGCTTACTTCTGTACCCTATATTCCAGGATATGGGTTACTCTTTAGCTACAGCAGTTAGCCTTATAGCCTGTGCTTCCACCTGTCTCAAATCCATCTCATTAAGGGTCTTCCTCTTTTTGCTGACCCTTTACTTTATGCCTAAGGCATTTGACTGCTAACCAGAAGGCTGGTGGTTCAAACCCACCAGCCACTCCTCAGAAGAAAGACTGGGCAATCTACTTCTGTAGAGATACTGCCTTGGAAACCAAAGAGGATTCACTATGAGTTGGAACCAACTCAATGACAGTGAGTTTTTTCGTTTTTTTTTTTTTTTTTCAGCTTTTCTGATGCTTTATCAAGCACATCTTTCTCCGGGTTCTAGTCCCTCCTGATAACTTGTGCAAAATACATGAGATGAAATCTTGCCATCCTTGCTTCTAAGGGGCATTCAGGCTATATTTCTTCCAAGACAGATTTGTTTGTTTTTCTGGCAGTTCATGGTATAATCAATATTCTTTGCCAACACTAAAATTGAGCACCATAATTTATAGCTATTTGTTCAGAACTTTCTATAATCCAGTCACTATGTTAAATGCTTTGGATACAATTCCTTATTTATTTATGTAAGGACTCAAACTCACTGCCGTTGAGTCAGATCCAGCTCATGGTCGACCCCTCTTTGGGTTTCCAAGGTGGTATCACTACAGAAGTAGATTGCCCAACCTTCCTTCCGAGGAGTGGCTGGTGGGTTTGAACTGCCAGCTTTCTGGTTAGCAGGTTTCTTGTTGAGCCAGGAGTCTGAGAGCTAAGAAAGACTTCCTATTCTGCTTCCCTTCAAATACTTAAGTAGAAAGAGTGAATGCTATCTGATAAGATATTATTGAGGGCCTTTCCTGAGTATAACTTTTTATTTCCTTCTTAGTGTAGAATATGAGCTGATTAGGAGTCCTGGCTAATGTCAGAGGTATATGTTTGAAAACTATGATTATTAATTGCTGATATTCCCCATTAGGGAGTGCTTGGTTTTAAAGAGAAGACAGCAGCAGAATTCCAGTAGCTCTCTGGGTGAACTTCAGGGCTAAGCTCTGGCTTTCTTACCAAGGGATTTAAGCACATTGCTCCACTGATGTGCCGCTGACAATGGAAATGAAATGGGAACTTGATGCACAGTCACACATTTCTTACTAATGAGGGTGGGAATGTGCCTTATTTGGTACTGGGATTATCTCATGTATCTGTGCCTTGTTCAGGGTTCTTTCCCTGCATGGAGATGTTTGCCATCCAGTACATGATCATAGTTAGACACTGAAAATGACTAATATCCAATGGATTAGATTTCCAAAACAAAATTTAGAGAACCAAGAAAACCCCGTGAGAGCTGGAACTCAACGAGACAGCTTTGCTTTTCTTGGTCTTGCAAGTGTTTTTCCTTTAACAGGGTGTCTTACCGCCTTTCTATCATTCTCTATTAAAGGAAAATATTTGTGTGTCCTTTCTCTGGCAGGTTTCTGCCTTACATGGGATCCAGCTATCAAAAATTTTAATGTAATTTATACTTAATGTGCCTGGAGGATTTGAGTGCCATCCTGTATAGCTGTGAGCTCTTATCTGAGTTCTCTGACTCGTCGTCGGCAGGTAACAACAACAACTGTGGAATGAAGCTAATGATGGTGACTGTATTCCTAAAGTCTGTGTGATGATTACATGAGCAGAGAGTAAACCACTCAGAATAGCGTCTGTGTTTATACTACTCACTGCCTTCGAGTTGGATCTGACTCATAGCTACCCTTCCTTGTGTTTCTGAGGCAGTATCACTATGGAAGTAGTTTGCCCAACCTTCTTTCCAAGGAGTGTCTGGTGGCTTTGCACCGCCAGCCTTCTGGTTAGCAGTGTTTATACTAATCTCTCTCTAAATTGGAATTACTATTGGCAGAGAACCCTTCATCCCCCTCCTGGTACCTTGTTCCTGATTGTGGGCTTATCCCTTCATTGTCTTAATATTCCTAACCGGTCTCTTCATCCTTACTCATTTTGCTGACGTGTATGGGCTTCTCTGGTTGATGAGCGTGGAAGGAAAACTTGGGCATTGTTTCCTCAGTTCCTTCTTCTTGATATTTTTTCTGAGACTGAACTTGATAAATTCTTATAGTACTCATTCTGGCCAGTTCTGGAGGACAGAAGGCAACTATGTTCTTTTATGTCAACTACCAACTCAGCTCAACTACTAACAAAGGTGTGTGTATGCATACATTTTAATTATTTGTCTTAATTTTCAGTTGGTTCAGAACTCAGGAGAGGAATAGAATTTATTAATGGGCTTCCTCAAACACCTCAAAAATTACCATGTAATTATCATTGGAAAAAAACAATGACAAAAAGCCTTGGCTGACTTTAGTTGTGGAGAGAAATTACAGTAGTTTGACTTTTCTAACAGGGACAAACCAAATTGCCTTCTTTATAATGACACTTTTGTGAATGGAGTCTTAGCCTCTGGAAATGTGCCCACTACCAGTTGCAGTAGGAACAGAAAATGGAAAGCACACAGATTTCCCAAACTAAGATGGAAGCATGATCCTGTAGAAATACATTTACTTTTGTCTATTAATTCTTCAGATATTTATTGAGCACTTACTATACTGGAGGGGTATACGGAATAACAGCTAATCACAGACAGGTTTTCAAAAATCTGCTTTGCCGCTTACTCCCCATGTGATTTTTGGTAAATTATTTAACACTCACTCTGCTTCAGTTTATCCAACCAAACCCAATCATTGCCATCAAGTTTAATTCTATTTCATAGCCACCCTAAAGAACAGAGTAGAACTGTTCTATAGGGTTTCCAAGGCTATAAATCTTTGTGGAGGCAGACTGCTTCATCTTTATCCCTGGGAGTTCTTGGTGGGTTTGAACTGCTGACCTTTGGGTTAGCAGTCAAACACTTAACCACTGTGCCATCAGGGGTACTTTCCTTTGATTTACACATTTGTAAATTGAGAATAATAGTAGTATTTACCTTGTGAGGTTTTTATGAAGATGTGATGAGCTTAAAACAATATTGCACTTGCTATGTACCTGGCATACAGGAAGAACACAGTAACTATTAACTGTTAAGATTATTTTTAAACTTAAGTGTCAGTCATTGTGCTTGTTATTGTATAAGTAATGGTGAACAAAATAGATAATGAATTCTTTATTTAGGACTAAACTATATGGTTTGATCTGAATCCTTTTCCATTCTTTACGATTTTAACTCTCTTGAGAGCCCGATAGGAGTAAAATACAATGAATGACAAAAATCAATATCTGGATCAAGTGCAACATCTAAAATCCATTTTAATAGTGTTTTGTTGTTCACAAAAATAGTCAAGCCATCGCTGCTCCAAAAACAATATGCAAACTATCTAGGTGCCATAATATTATTTTCTGGCTATAAGTCTAGAACATATTTTACATTTTTTTAATTCAAAGAAAGTTTGTGTGAAATTTATTTTAAACTGAATGGAAGGTCAACATTTCCTTCCCATGTGGCTCTAAAAGCATCACACAGGATTTCGGCTTGAAATTATTCTCTCTTGATGTAGGAAAATGTGTTTCAACGACAGGAGGCACCAATACGTGGTTCAGCCTTCAAAATAGTCTTGTCAACTTTCCTAATAGAAGTGGGAAATAAAAAAAAGGAAAACAAACAAACAAAAAAAGCTTTAGAGTCTTTCAACATTTACCTATAACCCAGAGTAGAGTTTACTAAAGGATCAATTTTACTAGCACAGGAAACATTTCCTGGTGATTATTGTTGAGACCAATGAAGGAAGTTGAGCAAGTGAGTGTTAGTCAATACTCATTCATAAACAAGTGGCAGCGTTATCTAAACTGGGAGTCTCAGAAGCCACTGGTCTGGTGAGCTGGACAGTGTAGGGGATTACCAGCATGAGCATTGCCCATTGTGAAAACACTGACTTAAGTCATCACTCACTAAATGTCAGGAATGCTATTACCACTCCTTTGCACAGCACTATTATTGCCGAATGTAACGTATGGTAGAAGACAACAGATAACTTTCAAATTATTTACATTTAAATAACGTTTAATAGTTTTATAAGAATTGTTTTCATTATAAGAGTAATAAAATTCTGATGCACAATGACCTCATATGTATCAGAGCAGAACTGTGCTCCACACAGTTTTCAATGGCTGATTTTTTGGAAGTAAATTGCCAGGTCTTTCTTCTGAGAACTTCTGGGTGGACTCTAACCAGTAACCTTTGGGTTAGCAGCTAAGTGCATTAAACATTTAAACTACCTAGGCAATCCAATAAGAAAGGTGGACTAAAATACCTTTAATTTCACACATCTGACACCATCACTTAATCACATGAATTTATTTTTTCCTAGCCCTGTTGTTATTAAAAATGTTGTATGTACAGCTCTGTTTTCCCTTTTCATATTTTATAGTGGACTGCACAGACCATGGTTTTAATGGTTGTATAATAACTCCTTGCTGGTAGCATAGTGTCTAAGGCACTTGACTGCTAACCAGAAGGCTGGCGGTTCAAACCCACTAGCCACTCCTCGGAAGGAAGGTTGGGCAATCCTACTTCCATAGTGATACCGCCTCGGAAACCCAAGGAGGGGTCGCTATGAGTCGGGGCCGACTCGACGGCATATAATAACAACAACAACATAGATGTTCAGTAGTGAAATTATATTTTTCTTATTGCTGCCACTTGAACTTTTAAAAAGTTGCCATTAGAAATAGTTCACTATACATTTTGTATATGTGTCCATTTTATTATTTGGGATTATTTTCTTTGAATTGCTTTCCAAAAGAATAAGCACTGAGTCAAGTGTGTGAGCATTTTTCAGGCTTTTTTTTACAGATTGATAAATTGCTTTTACTCATCTGTTGAATTGCGTGCCCCCAAAATATGAGTTGTAATTTCTAGGAATTCACTTAATGGCAGTGGTTAGGTTTGGTTTTATGTTTGTGGTTATAATCTGAATTGGGAACAGATTGTCTTTGCTTTGTTAATGAGGCAGGATTAATGAAGGTTTTGTCTTGAGTCAATCTCTTTTGAGATATAAAAGAGATTAAAACAAGCAAGCCAAGAGGTAGAGATGGGGAAAGAGAGATACCAAGCCATGTGAAGATTGCCCAGGAGCAGAAGCTCAAAAGAGACAAGGACCTACCTCCAGAGCTGATAGAGAGAGAAAGCCTTGCCCTAGAGCCAGCTCACTGAATTCGGACTGAGAAAATTACATTTTATTTGTTAAAGTCACCCACTTGTATTTCTGTTGTAGCAGCACTGGATAATTAAGATCACCACTGTCTTTCGGTTTGGGATATTGTGGTGGCTTCATGTTGTAGTGATTCTGGAAGCTGTGCCATAGGTATTTCAAATACCAGCAGGGTCACCCATGATGGACAGGTTTCAGCAGAGCTTCCAGACTAAGACAGCTAGGAAGAAGATCTGGCCAGATAGCTTCTGAAAAAAACTGGCCACTGAAAACCTTCTGAGTAGCAGTGAGACATTGTCTAATTTAATGTTAGAAGGTGAGCCCTTCAGGTTGAAAGGCACTGAAAACTCAGCTGGGGAAGAGCTGCCTCCTCAGAGTAGAGTTGACTTTAATGACATGATTGGGTAAAGCTTTCAGGACCTTCAGTGCTGATGTGGCACAACTCAAAATGAGGAGAAACAGCTGCAAATATCATTAATAATCAGAATGTGGAATGTAAGAAAGTGTGAATCTAGGAAAGTTAGTTGTAAAAATTGAAGCACAAAATAAATTGATGTCCTAGCCATTTTTGAGCTGAAATGGACTTTGTATTGGCCACAAACAAAAAAATGGACTTTGTATTTGCCATTTTGAATCAGACAATTGTGTGGTGTACTCTGCTTGGAGTGAAAAATTGAAGAGGAATGACATTATATTCATCATCAAAAAGAATATTTAAAGATCTATCCTGAACTACAACACTACCACTAATTAGATAACATCCACATGGCTACAGGGCAGACCAGTTAATACAACTATTATTCAAGTTTACCATCCAACCACTAATGCCCAAAATGAAGAAGTTGAAGATTTTTTACCAACTTTTGTAGTCTGAAATTGATCAAGTATGCAATCAAAATGCATTGATAAGTACTGGTGATTGGAATGTGAAAACTGGAAACAAAGAAGGAGGATTAGGAGTTGGAAAATATGGCTTTGGTAACAGAAATGACACTGTTGCCAGAGATTGCATAATAGAATTTTGCAAGACCAATGAGCATTCATTGCAAATACCTTTTTTCACCACCAACAACTTTTAGCAACACTAGATAACTAAGATCACCATTGTCTTTCAGTTTGGCATATTGTGGTAGATCTTGCCAGATTGAATATACAGGAAACAGATCGACTACATCTGTGGAAACAGACAGTGGAGAAGCTCAGTATCATCAGTAAGAATGAAGCTGGACCATCAATTGCATATATGCAAGCTCAAGTTCAAGCTGAAGAAACTTAAAACAAGTCCATGAGAGCCAATGTATGATCTTGAGTATATTCCACCTGAATTTAGAGACCATCTCAAGAAAAATTTGATGCATTGAATACTAATTACCAAAGACCAGATGAGTTATAGAATGATATCAAAGACATCATACATAAAGAAAGACAAACATCATTAAAAAGACAGGAAAGAAAGAAAAGACTAAAATGGATGTAAGAAGAGACTTTGAAACTTATTCTCGAACACAGACTAGCTAAAGAGAAAGAAAGAAATGATGATATAAAAGAGATGAACAGAAGATTTCAAAGGACAGCATGAGAAGCAAAGTATTATAATGAGATGTACAAAGATCTGGAATTAGAAAACCAAAAGGGAATAACAAACTCAACACTCCTCAATCTGGAAGAACTGAAGAAAAATTTCAATATTGGAGGAATCTATGGGCAAAATACTGAATGTTGCAGGAAGCATCAAAGTGAAATGTTTCAACAAACAGATGAACCACTGGAGGGGTTACCTCATCTATGCCAAGAAATTTAGAAGACAGCTATCTGGCCACCCACTAGAAGAGATCCATATTTGTGCTCATTCCAAAGAAAGGTGATCCAATAGAATGCAGAAATTATCTAACAATGTCATGTAAAAGTAAAATTTTGCTGAA